CTGGAAGGATCAAGGAGGCATTTAAATGCCTCCCCATGCCTTCCCCAGCCTGTCCAAGGGCTGGCTTGCCCAGGCGCCCCACAGCCGTGGGACGCCCAGGCAAGCCAACGGAAGGCATGGGGTGTAGCCTAATATGCTAATGAGCTGCACTATCAGGGTGGGGCCTAATATGCTAATGAGTTTCTGCTGTTGGGTGTGGCCTAATATGCTAATGAGTTCCTGCTGTGCTTTTTCTACAAAAAAGGCCCTGGAGGTGGGGAACATGACTTGACATGCAGACTCTATGTGGTAACCGGACATTTGGAGGATAGCTGGAGCAAGGCCCAGATAGACAAGTTTAAGCAGGATCGGGACCAGGATTGGGGACAGAGCACACAAGCAGGAAGCCAGGCAAATATGCAGGAGTAGGTGGGATCCATTGAAGACAGAGGCCTGGAAGTAGCTTAAAGAAGCAAGAAGGCAAGAGAAACAAAGGAATCACACTAGGCAGATTACAGGCTACTGAGGAATGGAAGATCCTCTAGTTAAGGTGAAGAAAACAGAAGTTGCTTCCCTTCTGCTACAGACAGAGACCAAGGGCTGCTTCCCACATCAAATTCCAATTTATTTACTCTGCAACAGCCACACCGAGGAAAGCTGAAGTCTGCAAACGTGGTCTACATGCCCGCTGGAGGCATTTTTCAGATAAGCGTCTCTTCTCCTGGCATGACAGTTTTCCCTTTAGATATAGATATGGACAAATCAGAACTTGTGTTTCTCACTGTGATCCAGGTGAGCTGAGCTGAAGGCAGGACTGAAATGATTCCCCACGGCAGTCCAAAAGCCATACTGACAGGTTGTTTTTCTTCCTCTCCTTGACTAAAAAGTGAGACACACCTTAGTAACATTCCTTACAGGTATTTTCTCTTCAAAATAAATGTGAAAGGTTACATATTTATGGCTATGCTGATGAACCTTAATTGCTCTCTCTGTGTGTCTGCCACTCCCTGAATGTTTGGAAGAAAAACACTCCTGGAGGCGGTTGTGGCAGGTTGCCTTTTCCCCACTCATCTTCCCCACTCAGCTGCTGGACCTAAATGGATGATGACAAGTGTCTGCTTCCCTCAACAACTAATGGAGTTTTGACTGACAGTTCAAAGAAATACTTGTGCATTTTTTTAAAACATGTCTGCAGATGTTTTGAATTTATTAGTTACCTCCATTCACGAGAAAGCTATAAATTCACATCCACCCTAGACTAATTTTTGTGGAAATTATGATTTTGATGTTTGTTTAAGTACCAAAAGATTACAGAAATGTTGTAAGAAATTCAGTTTTATTTATTGAAAATGGTAACCCTGAAGGCTTTGGGTGGGTTACAGTACAATGGCACTGTAGATAATTAATTCTTCTAAAACTGTTTGGTACCAACCAATTTGGCAGGTGCATCAGAAAGACAATAAAGTGCAAAGCAGCCAAGACATTATTTATTTTAATCATGTATGACTTAACATCACATAAGGCTCCAAATATTTCTCAAACATACAATAGTATTCAATACATGAAATACAAAAAATACAATAAATAGGCTGGAGATTTAAAGCGTGTTTTTCAGTCCATTGAAATCGTGAAATTTGCTTTTGGAGTGTCAAAAAGTAAATGTGAGATATTGCTTTTAATCTCCAGCTTATCTATTGCATTATTTGTATTTCGTGTATTGAATACTATTGTATGTTTGAGAAATATTTGGAGCCTTATGTGATGTTAAGTCATACATGATTTATATTTACTCATCTATTTCCTTAAATCATTGTTGTTGTTATTTATTTTAGTGCATATTTATCCCATCCTTCGTCCAAGCTCAAGGCAACAAATATCAGTCTCCTCTCCTCCATTTTACCCTCACAACAACTTTGTGAGGAAGGTTAGGCTGATAGCAAAAGAGAGCCCCAAGGTCACTCAGCAGGTTTATCTGCTGAGTGGAGAGTTGAACCTTTGTTTCCCAGAGCCTAGTCCAGCATTCTAACCACTGTGCCATTTTGGGTTATCATCCTTATTCTCCCTGTGCTCCAGTCAACACAGATACATTGCAAGAAATATTGTGTAGAAACCCAATGTATTCCAGCTGTTTATTATCTCTTGTAATACTTTTGCTCTCAAGGGTCACTGACTCATATCTTTGCTCTCAAGGGTCACTGACTCATATCTTATTCATATTCATTGGGTATACCCCTCACATTCCATTGGACAAAGCACAACATCATAGCCATCACAAACTGCAAGGTGAAGTATGGCTTTGGTGAAGTATGGCTTTGAATGTCTGGCTTTTAATATTATGACATGATTTTAATTGTAAGCCATCTCCATCAGGACTCTGAAGTGATGGCATAGAAATACCCTAAGTAGATAAATAATTACAGGGATATTTGTGATTTTTGAAATTCAGCATTTTTTACATTGAAAACTAAAGTCAGAAACCAACCTGTAAAACTTTGTGTGGTCCACTGCTTATTTGTATAATTGAGGCTGCCTAAAACAAAACACAGAGGTTTTGTTTTAGGCAGAGAATGGAGCTTCGGATGTGTTATTTGCTCCTATATAGCAGGCGCCTGGAGGTAAGCAGGACCGTGATTGGGGAGGAAAAAACTCTTGCACTCTCCATACTATTTAAAAAATTGTCCTTGTGGGCAGCTTTAAGTCCCGGGACAGAGAAGAGACAGGTAGGGCAAAAACAACAAACCCCTTTAGCTGCTGGAGCTTAAAACAGCCTGGGGTGTGGAGAGGGGAGCACATTTTCAGTGTTTGCTAAAGGCAGATGTACACTGCAGCATTTGGGGATGGCCAGGTGGCACAGCCTCAAACGGCCAAATAAATCAGATTATTTTAATAAATTAAATGTCATGATTAATGCATTGGGAAGGGCTGCCTCCGCTCTAGATGTGCTTCATTAAGGAAGCATTTCCCCTCAAATAATAAAATACAATAATAAAAAATAAAACAAATGTTGCAAAGTCACTATGTGGTACAGGCCTCAGAAGAATGAGAAGTTGTTGTGTGCTACTGGTGGTGTCACAGGCACCATCCAGTTGTTATGTGCAGCTACTCACTTCATGAGCTGCGGTGGCTCAAGTGGTTAAGACGCTGAACTGCAGGCTGTGGAAGGTCAGTAGTTCAGTGGTTCAAGACCCGGGTGCCGCAAGACAGGGTGAGCTCCTGTCTCTAGTTCCAGCTCCTGTCAACCTAGCAGTTCGAAAGCAAGAAATTGCAAGTAGATAAATAGGGACCACTTCGGTGGGAAGGTAACAGCGTTCCGTGCGCCTTGGTGTTTAGTCATGCCGGCCACATGACCACGGAAACGTCTTCGGACAGCGCTGGCTCTTCGGCTTTGTAACGGAGATGAGCACCGCAACCCTAGAGTCGGATTCGACTGGCTTTCGAGCAAGGGAACCTTTACCTTTACCTTTTACTCACTTCATAGTGTGCACAATGGGAATGCTAGCTGGGGGAGAATCATGTTTTTCAGGCACAAAGTATTTGTTTCCTGAGTACTAGAAAAAAATGTCCCAAACAGCAGGGGTTCTTCCTTAAGGAAAGCCAGCTATATTCCAAAACATGAATAATAACAAATGAATGTATAAAATGCAAAAACAATAATAAAAGTAGGGTCTAATACCATAGGGAGTTTCATCTATGACACCATTATGTTGCAGAGTTTAAGCAATTCCTGACATATTCCTTTTCTTTTTAAAAATAAATAATGTGGGTATTAGATCACCAGTGGACAAGCCCTGTGGCAAGAGGGGTCTATGGAAAAAGTGATACCTGTGACTTGCCAGCATCCTGCTTTAGGGAGCAGAAATTGAGACTTGACTGCTTTCTCAGTGTGGTGCTCCAATAAAATGAATTGCTGACCAGGGATTTCGGTCCATTTAGTGGCACAGTTCTGTATAGGGATGGGCACAAACCAACTCACAAACTGAAGTTTGTGATGAATTTGGGCAAGTTCGTGGTTTGTGAACTCAAGTTTGTGGCATGTCACCTAGCATAAACTTTCCATGAATGTTCAAGCAGTTCATGGTGGTTCATGAATGGATATATTTCCAAACAGACTGTCTCCACTAAGTCTAAATGTTTACCAAACTTCAAAGCAACAGGGGAGAACTTGGAGGCCATGCAGAGGAGCATCTGGGGGAAGTCCCCTGTGACTTTGATGTCTCTAGCTTGCACAGGATCCATTATGTACACTCCTGAACCTCCTGAACCTGAGCCTGCCTTTTCCTCAGGAAGCACTTTCCTGGGGGCACCTTCTGGGGGGGGTAACTCAAACCCTGTAAATCCAATCCTCACCAAACTTGGCAGGCAGGTAGAGGAGAGTCAGCCAGAGATCCCCTGATAGTTTGGTTTTTGTAGCATGCAGGGTATGTATGTGTTCTACTGCATCACAAACCTCATTAACTGAACCAATTCATTTGGCGGCGAAAAAATCACGATGGTTTGTGGTTTGCGAACCGAGCACGCCATGAACTAAGCCACATTCCCCCAGTTTTTGCCCATCCCTAGTTCTGTATAAAATTAAGAACATAAGAAGAGTCCTACTAGATCAGACCAATAATCCATCTAGTCCAGCATTCTGTCTCACTCAGTGCCCAACCAGTTCCTCTGAAGGGCCAACAACAGGGCATAGAGGCCAAGACCTTCTCCTGATGTTGCCGCCTGGTCCTGGGATTCAGAGGTTTAGTGCCTCTGAATGTGGAGTTTCCCCTCAGTCACCATGGCTAGTAGCCATTGATAGACTTATCTTCCATGAATCTATCTAAAATTGCAAGGATAATGTCACATATTTCACCAAAGTATAAGAAGAAACTAGGGGAGCAACCTTTAAATAGGGAAGCAACTCCCATTTTATTCAATGGGCTTACTTCCAGGAAAGTATTTGAAAGGCTGGAATCTTGTCCAAGGTCTAACAGAGATATCCATTGTCTCTTTTGTCCCTCTCTACCCATGTGGTGCTGATTTTGCAGCAAGTTCAACCACCAGAATATTGTGCAGTGCATTGGGGTAAGCCTCCAGACCTTGCCCCGCTTCATCCTGTTGGAGCTTATGACTGGTGGAGACATGAAGAGCTTCCTTCGGCAAAATCGCCCTCGGGTGGTAAGCCATCCCTTTCCTCCTTCCTGCTCCTTTTCTGGCCAGTATCTCTTTGGAACAAGGTTTACTGTTGCATGCCCAGCTCCTGAAGTCCATTGACAATTCTTCTCTTGCTTTTGGGGGGGGGGGGGGGGGTAGCCTGAAAACTACATGTTATTCCTGTTCTGGTGTTACCAAAATACAGCAGAAAGATCCAGATTAATTATGAATAAGAACTTTCACATAAAACTTCACTGACTAAAAGGCTGAACCTCTGTATTGTAGAAATTTAAAGAGCTGATTCAGTAGCGGTGACATGTGTACCCAGGACTGTTTATTCCAATGGTCCAGAAGGCTTATACCCAAAATAAAACTTTGCTAATCTTAAAAGTTCCACTGGGCTCAGACTTTCTTCTGGCCCAGAAGGCTGTTAGTGTAGGTAAGTTGGAAGAGTGTATCCAGAGTTATACTGACTCAAGGCTAGGGGCTGGTTTCATTCCTTACTTGCACATGTCATTTCTACAGAAAGTTGTGGATGGCATTTCCATCAGATCTCTAATCACTATCAATATGATTCACAAATACATTAGATGATTTGAATAAGAGAGTTTCCTTACTTAATTTTTGACAAAATGATTTTGAATGTTTAAAAAAATTCTGTCCCCAAAGGACAAAGTGTAAGTATGGCTATAGAAATTAACTTTGAAGAGAGAACAATTTCCACATTGCCAAACAGTGTCTTTAATGTGGCCCTGTTCAGAACATGACAATGCATTTCAGAATATGCCAGGCAGGTGTATTTCTTTCACTGTCAATGTTAATTCAAGACCAGTCCCAAATGTATCTGGTGGGGTTTTTTGTGCTGTGGAAAGCTGGGCTAATTTGCCAAACTCTGGTAGCAATTTCCTGTAGTTAACAGTATCATCTTTGGCAGACGGTGAGACTGCTCAAATCATCTCAAGCAATTCTACAACCTTCACAATTCTTATAAACAGGCAAAATGCAATCAACTGGATTCAGTGCCACCATATGAAATTCCAGAAGTGTCTATATAGAATGTATGAACAGCCTTACCACACAGATTTATTATTATTAGATTTGTTCCTCAGTTATACTGGTAAAAACCAGGAATGATAAGTCAATACTCTAATGTCCTGCCTGCTTTTCACTGTGCCCTAATCCTTATGCAATATCTTTATAAAGACTGAATCAACTCCAGAAGAGTTCTGTTCACAGACAGGCAAAGGAAGTTGGATGAGGCCACAATAATATTCAAATCATGCCTATTTGCTGTGCTTGAGATTATTCAGTTTCAGGAAGTGGCCTAATTTGCTCCATGTGAAGAAAAACCTTCTGGGCCTGAAGAGGAAAGGAGCTTGTGGGTAGGGTTGCCAGGTCCCTTCGTTGCTTCGGCAGGGGGACTTGGGGGGCAGGGATGCCTCCAAGAGCAACCATCCACAATCCTGTCCTTACAGGAGAAGCAATTTGACGGCTCCCCGGATGTACAAGCTGTTTCCAGCTTTTCTCAAGAATTGCTTTAACAATTCCTTGTATAAATTATTTTCTGAAACCAATCTCCATCCTTATGACAAACAATTTGATAAACTATAAAGAATGTATATAATATATATTGTTTGTGTAATTATCATAATAATGAACAATAAACAAAAGTAGTCAAAATGTATACAATATGAAAAGTGAATTCACCAAATCTGAATCACCACAAAGTTCATACAATAACAAGAGGCAGTTATATTGCCTCTTGTTATTGTATGAACTTTGTAGTGATTCAGATTTGGTGAATGCACTTTTCATATTGTATACATTTTGAATTCACCAAATCTGAATCACCACAAAGTTCATACAATAACAAGAGGCAGTTATATTGCCTCTTGTTATTGTATGAACTTTGTAGTGATTCAGATTTGGTGAATGCACTTTTCATATTGTATACATTTTGACTACTTTTGTTTATTGTTCATTATTATGATCATTACACAAACAATATATATTATATACATTCTTTATAGTTTATCAAATGGTTTCCTTTTCTTTTTGGATTTTGTACATGGTGTTTTCCTTTGTTTGAATTGTTCCACCGTGGTCCCTATTTTTGTCTTGCTAATTCCCTCAATAGTAGCAGTGAAAAGCAGTCCAGTGAGGACAGGACGGTGGTTATTTCCCCACATAACTATCATTTCTGAAGTAGGCAATACATTGCATGGGGTTATGTGTTGCATTGGTAGCAAGAAATCAGACTAGCTACGTGGATAGCTTTTAACTAATAAAACTGATTTTATTATTTTTTTGGAAGCACCCTGCACCTTGGTATTCCCAAGCAGCACCATTTGGGTCACAAATCCTTAAGGTTATTTCAGTTACACTGTAGAAAACTCGGGAATTTCTTTTAGAGGGAAACCTAGTCTTATTTGTATAACTTTAACCTCCAACAGAAAAAAAGGTTCATGTATTTAGTAAAGATGCTACATCATTCACCAAGCTGACAGTGATGACACACCAGTTTTAAATCTCTGGAGGGCTAATTTCATGGTTAAAGGCAGTAAGGTGAACAAAGTGACTACAAGGGAGGCAGAAGAGAGCACAGATTTTGTTGACAGATTTAGGAGACCTCAGTTAATTTTAAGTGGCAATTCTTCTCTAAGCTGCACACTTCTAAAGAACTGGGAAAGCAACTTACATATAGCTTTCCCCCCTAGTGACGCACCAAGGAATTTTCCCCATGGGAAAAGATGTGAGTAGGTGGAACTCATTAGCTCAGCTCCTTGAGTTCTAGAATGCAGAATTCCCCTTGGGCTACAATCTGCATCAGGTCTGCCACACAGTCAGCATTCCAAGAATTCTTAAGAGTGACTGGCCTGCTAATTTGACTGTTCCAGTTTACTTCTTGTAAAAGCCAACGACAACTTGCGAGGGGGGGGGAGGTCTGTTTATTCTGTTTTATAGGCCTGGATCCTACTCCTCTTACAAGGACCAACACATTTGAGCATGGAAATATTGTTGGCATATGGTTTTCAGCATGATTTTATTATGTGCTCCACACTTGCCCAGGCAAAGAGAAGTTGTAGCAGCAGCACTGCTGAATTTAATTTTATTCAGATGACTGTGGTAGAGACTTAGAGAATTTTTGTAATATTTTATTTATTTGCAGGTTTATGATCAGAGCAAATAGAGGCAGCAAATAGACATGCCTGCATGGCAGCAGATCCGTTATCCCACATCATCTCACTAGAGAGATGCCCTTCAGGCAACTGACAGCTCTTTGGTCCACTTTTGTCTCTTCCAAAGTGCCCGTTCCCATTTTTTATACACACAACCCTGTGCCCTCCCTTCAGCTGCAGGGCGGGGAGCCAGTCTCCCTCTCTCAGCTCTGATGAGCACATTATTCTAACACACAGGGATTCCCCCCCATCAAGAAACCATTTCTGAAATTAGTTCCCTCTGGCCAGATCAGATAACTGACTCTGGAGTATTAACTTGTAATCTGCCTGACAAAGGAATGGTATCTATACACTACCTGCTTGGTTGGTCTGAAACACCAGAACGTTTGATTCCAGTTGCACCTTTAACACCAACAAAGTTTAATTCTGGGTATGAGCGTTCATGTGCATGCACACTGCTTCATTTGATGGCACTGTTAGTCATTTAGAACATCTATAGCCACTTAGCAGTCCAGAAAGTCAGAAATCCTCTGATCACTTTAAGTGATCCTCTAAAGCAGCCTTTATTTTCATATGGAAGCAGGGGGAGCGAAAGGGATCACTGAAATGGCTTGCAAAAGCAATTTAAAGGGAATGTTTCCTTCAAATGGCTTTGCAAGTGGACACTGCATGCAAGTGAAGTCCAAGCAGTAAGTTCATTCATAAGTGGCTGAAACGGATGCAAGCGATCCATCTCGCTCCCCACTGCTACCCACCATAAAACCACAAACCAATGATCATCAGAAAATTAGGTTTGTGACAAGGTTCATGCCCATCCCCACTAGAGACTTTTTTAAAAAAATAAAAGCTGGGAATTCAGAGAAGCTTCTTGACCCATTGTTATAGCAGTATATTGATAGATCAGTATTTTAGTGCCTTTCTTAAAATGCAGCCATGATATTGACATATTGATATAAGCATGTGCAAAAAATAAAAGGGGGGGATGCTGTGACACCACCAATGATGCCACCAACGATGACAACACCTTCCCTTGCAAATGCTGATTTTGACCCTAAATTGACTCCACAACTGGGGAAATGCAGAAAGAGGACAGATGTGTGGCAGAACTGTGCCCAAACCAATTCCAATGTCTATGGATTGATCCCTAAGAAAATCAGGAGTAAGTCGAGTGTCTGGAAAAGCCCAGAGTTAGAAAGAAGGGCTGGTGCTTCAGGCAGCAGATTCTAGGTGAATTCTCAGGATTTTCTTCTTATATATATTTACTGGGAAAGTCCCATCCCAGGCCACAAAAATATCCTTGAGAGCCAGCTTCATGTAGTGGTTAAGAGCAGCAGACTCTAATCTGGAGAACCAGGTCTGATTCCCCACTCCTCCATGTGAAGCCAGCTGAGTGGACTTGGGCCAGTCACAGCTCTCTCAGAGCTCTCTCAGCCCCACCTACCTCACAGGCAATATTCCCTCTAAGCTGAGTTAGTGTGAGCTAGCTCACAGTTTTTTAGCCTCTAGCTCATACATTTTTGTCTTAGCTCAGGGAGGATGGCTCCAGAGCAAACTACTTTATGCACTAGCCAAATTGCTTGCTCACAACTTTAATGCCAGTAGCTCACAAAGTAGAATTTTTGCTCACAAGATGCGACAGCTTAGAGGGAGCATTGTTCACAGGGTGTCTGTTGTGAGGAGAGGAAGGGAAGGCGATTGTAAGCCACTCTGAGACTCCTTCAGGTAGTGAAGAGCAGGGTATAAAAACCTCCTCCTCCTCCTTCCCCTTTTTGCCCACTTTTTCTTGCACTTTCTCAGTTTTCCTGTGTTGGCTCGGTATCCTGAGGGCCCCCCCAAAACTCCCTGAATATAAAAACAAAATAGAAATGGGTAATCATTCATTTTAACAATAACAACATTCAAAGGCAAAAAATGTTAATGTATTGATTAATAATTATAGCTTGAAGAAAGTGAATTGTTTAAGGTGCATTGGGGGGGGGGTTGTTGCAAAATTTTGAAGAACCCCTGAGGGAGGCTCACAGAGCCCAAAGATTTTTGCAGAACCTTAAAAACCTCTGGAGTAGAAATAACTTTTCTCCACTCCCCAAATGCTAGAACTTGAGTTCATGAAGTGAAGTTAATAGGCAGTTAGTTCAGGATAGACAAAAGTCCTTCATACAATACTTACAATTCTAACTTGGGGGACTTACTGACGTTGAGTGTAGTGTTGGCCAATAGTGTAATTGGCTAGGAAAGTACATTAGAATGCATGGAGGATAAGTTCATCAATGGCTCCATGTTCACAGGTGAATATCAGTTTCTGGAAGCAACATCCAAGAGCAGCTCCGTAACTCTGCAGTGGGTCTTATAGACCATCTGGTCGTCCACAATAAGAAACAGTATCCTGGACTAGATGGGCCATTTGGTCTTATCCATCAGGGCTCATCTTATGTTCCTAACTTTTTGTTTGTCTTTCTCAATGGTACCAACTGCAGAACCAGCCATCCACTTTGGCGATGCAGGACCTACTTAACATAGCCAGGGACATTGCTTGCGGCTGCAAGTATCTTGAAGAGAACCACTTCATCCACAGGTAACAGAGGCTCTGCAAGGTGAAGAACTTCATGCTGTAGTCCTTAGTTTGCCTTCTGGAGAATCATGAATGTGTTCTTCAGCACACAAGCCCAATATGGCTTGACTCTTCAAGGCAGATTTGAGTTGTACCATCTGAATTGGAAATTGCTGAAATCATGGATTTGCTTTAGATATCTTAAGACCCATTGTTCTGTGTGATCTCTGACAAACATTTTAAAAGTAGGAAATTCATCCCACGTGTACTGGGAAGAATCATGAATGCTTGCAATCCTTGTAGACAACCCCCTTTTAACTCCAGTAGAGAAAAAAGAGAGGGTGTTGTTCATCGGTATAGAAAGAAGCATTCACCCTGCTCTTCCTCAGTGCCACAACCCTGATCCATAATATCCTCCTACACATGTTTTTTTGAGGCCAAACTGTATGTGGGAGTATGCAATCATATACCTCTATTTAAGAGGCTATTTGGCCCAGAGGTAGAGATTGTCACAGAGGCTAACATCAGGCAAGCCTCACCTTATAGAGTTCTAGTTGTGATCCCTGATATCCCAATCTCTCCTCCAACTAGCTGCAGTACATTGTTAGTAATAAGTACCATTCTCTGTTGAGGAGTATCTACAGATTTCTAGAACAAAACTGTATAAAATCTTTGTGATACTAGATGTTACAAACACATGAAAGTGACTTATACTGAGTCAGTGTTGCCCAGTCTGACTGGCAGCTGCCTTCAGGGCCTCAGGTCAAGGTCTTTCACGTCACCTGATCCTTTTAACTGGGGAGGTTCGGTATTGAACCTGGTACCTTTTGCATGCAAAACAGATACTCCTCCACTGGCCCAATAGGGTTCTCATACTACTAAATTACATTTTCAAAAAGGGAAATATTGGACTTCACAAATTATTTCTAGTGAGAATACAGAAGGCCCTTGAAAATTATAGTTCCTGAAGTTCTCCTTGCTGTCCACTAGATGGTGACTAAGGATGTGCTTTTTAAAAATGGCATCTCTAAATCCACGGCTCCTACTTGTTCTATTATACAGTAAAACTGCCTATTACCATATAATAGAACAAGTAGGAGCCATGGATTTAGAGATGCCAGCTTCCTTTTCACAAGCAAAACTAACACTATTGAGAACAGTTAATAGTGTTAATCACTTAATAGATGTGATTATAGTGCTGCTCCTGAGCTGTATAAGTATAAATGGGACAATGTTAATCATTGCTTAGTATTCTGCCAATTTCATTGTCCTAAATGTGTGAACCAGGACTTAAGGGCTCTATTCAGAAACAAAAAAGCGAGCACCGTTTGAGAGCAGATGGGTGTCGCTCTTATTTGTATTTCAGGTGGAAACATTTCTTAGAATGGTTCTGGTCTGTCAGACTGAGTCTGGTAAGGAAACTGACTTTTAAGTTGCCTGGCTGTCAGCTCTGTCATTAGATAGAAACTGGGCCAGCTGTTCAAAGCCAGCCAAGTGGCAAGCCCAACAATTTCTAAACCAAACATGACATTTTCTGTCAGCAGCTACCACCACAGCACAAGGTTCTTTACTGTATGTATGCAAGAAAATATTTTAAAACTATATGTTCATTTTAAAAGACATCCCATTAAACACAGCATCTGCCTGAAATATTGAATAGTTACTCTTAGAGTTATGCATAACTTCATTCCCTGACACTGACACTTTGTGGTTGGCTCTGCCTCCTGCAGCAGCCATTTAATGGCTGTACCCACCACCCTGTGTCAGAATTCCAAAGGTGGGCACAAGCTCAAAGAGTTTGGGGACCCCTGCATTAGATGTTGCTGCCTTGGCCTGGGTTGACCCCACTTTCGAATGCAGGTAGGTAATAGCATTTTTGGGTGTTCTTCCCATATTTTATTAAAAATCAACTATTTACAAATTGGAAACTAGCACATCAGGGGGAAAACATTCTAGTCCAGTCCTTAGCCAGCTGTGCTGGCATTCTGTTTGCAAGGAATTTATTTTAAAACTATCCTCCACTCCACCTACAGTATGAAGTAGGGGCAATCTTTTTCACTTCTTACTTACTTTATGACCACCTGATTCTGTTGCATGTAGTACTGGATTTATTTTTTTTACTGTTTTCCAAGTAAATTTTGTTATTAGATGAGCGGAAAATTTGGTATTTTTTACTTTACATGTATATGAATTTTGTGTAATCCAAGGGACTGTTTACCTACACCAGCAGAATATAACATATCGAAAGTTAGCCATTTAACCATTTTGGACCTCTTAAGATTTGGAGGGAGGACCATCAGTGTAATAGTTACCTACTTTTTTCCTTTAATGATTGTGCATTATATGTACAAGATCTTCAAAGCAAATGTCCCAGCTAAATGTTATCTCTTGCTTAGGGGAAATGCTCTCCATACTCATGGCTAAACGTTTATAGCTCCTTCAGCACTGCTGCAACCTTTGTGTTAATTCCAGTTGTTTGTAAGGTGTTTTTTTCTTGCATACTTGTCAGTACATGACTTGCTTAACATGTGCCACTTAGATCCTCCTCCAAATGCAGTGGGGAAACTTTTGGACTATGCAAGCTGATCTGCTTGATCCTCTGTAAAGCTTTTACTTTCTCTCTCTTTCTCACACATACACACAGAGCACATGCACACACTTCCATTGTCTTGGGCAGCCATTTCCTTGTGATGTAGCCCCATGCTGCTGTGATATGCATGTTAACTATCCAAATCATGTGGGTGGATGCACTGCGCAACAACATACTTTTATTTAAACATTCAAAGAACATAATAAAGCAAAACTGTGATTACTACATTTTAATAGTCAACACTATTTAAAGAAATTTAGCACTAAAGATGTACACATTCCCCAAAATTGTCTCTCCAGGCATGGGTGAAGAGACTAGAATAAGCAGGTTTGTTTCTAGCCTGTATTCCAGGCATCTCAGCCCTGTCTGTGGCACTGAGCAATATATTTGATGCAACCAAACGGTGGCTCAAGTGGTTAAGACACTGAACTGCAGGCTGTGGAAGGTCAGCAGTTCAGCAGTTCGAGACCCGAGTGTTCCGCATGACGGAGTGAGCTCCCGTCTCTAGTTCCAGCTCCTGCCAACCTAGCAGTTTGAAAGCAAGAAATTGCAAGTAGATAAATAGGTACCACTTCAGTGGGAAGGTAACGGCATTCCGTGTGCCTTGGTGTTTAGTCATGCCGGCCACATGACCACGGAAATGTCTTTGGACAGCGCTGGCTCTTCGGCTTTGAAACGGAGATGAGCACCGCAACCCTAGAGTTGGATTCGACTGGCTTTCGAGCAAGGGAACCTTTACCTTAAAGGTGAAATTAGAGGAGGGGAGGTCGGCTGTGGTTCACTGGTACAGCATCTGCTTTCCGGGCTCGTTCTAGATCATCTCCAGTTAAAAAGGATGAGGTAAAAGGTGATGTGAAAAACCTCCAATCTGACACCCTGGAGAGCCACTGCCAGGCACAGTCCATGAGAGTGGCTGTAATGGATCAATGTTCTGATTCAGTAGAAGGCAGCTTTGTGTGTTCTTGTGAAAGTGACGTGCATGAGGTCACAGAAGAAGAAAGGGACCCAGATCCTCAGGCAGAGGAATGAGGCAGAATGAGAAAAACACTTAATGGAGGATGGCCATTTTCTGTCCATATATTTAAAAAGTCCTGTTAAAGGGAGTATTCAGACTAACTGGCTCACTGAATTTGACCTATACTGAGGGATAGTATTCTAAAATAAAAATGCCTCTGTTGTGTTCTAAGACAATTTTTAAGACTATTGTAAAGTTACAGCACTAATGACAAATGGTATTTGAATGAGAAAATGTCAGTAACTTGCAGCAGCATCGTGTGCCCTTGCAAAGACAATAGTACTTTAAGTTACTGTATTCTTTAACAAAATATTTATGGTGTCAACTCACGTTTCAGAATTACTAATTTCCATTATGCGTATGCCCTTTTCAGGGATATAGCTGCAAGGAACTGTCTTCTGACTTGCACTGGGCCTGGACGTGTAGCCAAGATTGGTGATTTTGGAATGGCCCGGGATATCTACAGGTAGGGTATAAAACGGTAGCTAATAACTGGGCGGGGGGGGGAGTGGTAAGATGACATCCATCCCATCTGTCTGGTTCAGGGAATTTAAGAAAGGCTGAGAACACTGAAATGCAACAGTGACTAGAGCCACATATCACTGGACATTGTACTTCATTCACAGCTGGATTATCCTGTGCAGATAACTAGTTACTAGTTACCAAACTAGTCACAAATGCTTTCATTTAATTATAGTGCAATGTTCAGTGTGCAGATGTAACAAATGTAACATCTTCTTGTTCTCCCCTTTCCTTCCTAATATGTTTGGTGGGCCCCATAATAGTGACAGTGCTGCTGCAAAGGACCCTCTACTGTAATTTGGATTGAAGAGCCTGGAGGAACGGAGTGCAGAGCATACTGAAAGAGTATTATGATCAGAACCAGAAATCTATGATGCTGAAGGCAATTTGCCTATTCCTGCTTCTGTTTTCACTGTACTTCTAGCAGAAACAGTGGGGTCAGTGAAAATGGGTCTCATCTCTTCTGAATCTTCCTTTGCAGGCCATAATTCTCTCTTTTTGGTCTTGCCAGGGCAAGCTACTACCGCAAAGGAGGGCGAGCCATGCTTCCAGTAAAGTGGATGCCCCCGGAGGCTTTCCTAGAGGGAATCTTCACCTCCAAGACTGACACTTGGTAAATGTCTTTAGGTCTCTGCTGTGGGGCAAGCAAAGGAAACCAGCTGGAGACCATGAAATACATGGAGACTGATGTCTCATGGTCAGCTGATGTCACTTCTCTGCTTCCAGCAGGAGGGCTGTTGCCAGTCCTGCCCAGTGCCCTTCCACTGCTTGAATGGGAAAAATCAGGGAGGGGGAAATGGTGTCATGTCACTTCCATACAAAAGCCAGAAAGTGATGGAACCAGCTTCCCTAGCTTATTTCAGAGGTGTAGAACTCAAACCTCTGCAAGGGCCAGTCAGAAATTTCATTACAGAACCACCACCCCACACACACATGAGGCTGGGGTGGAGGCATTAAAATCTCCAGCTCTGCATGGTAAAGCAGTTCCCAACAACAGATTGCTCTTAGCATTATAAGCAATGGGCTTGTGCGAGTCAGGCTTACTTCAGGGTACTGCAGATAAAGTCCCTTCCGTAGGGTCAACACAGTTATGCTTTTTCTCTTATAGTAGACCCATAGGAGCCATAATTTAGTGGTGCTACTTCTGCATGCAAAGCAGAAGTAACACCAGGTTCAATAACTGGCATCTTTTCTAAAAGGATCAGAAAGCAAGTTTGAGGAAAAACTTTTTTTTTGGGGGGGGGGGTTTGCCAGATAGAGAGCTTCTGTCAGTCAGAGTAGACAGTACTTTTGTAAATGGACCAGTGGTCCTGACTCTGTATAAGGCTGCCTCTCATATGATGAAGACATAGCTTCATTGGTATTGCACCAAGCACATATGCTGGCCCTGTTGCCCTTGGCTGTGTTTTAAAACTGAAATCCAAAGGATGTCTGCTTTATTTGGAAGTGCCACCTTGTTGCTGAGGAAACAAGTTGACTTTACAATAACTCTGGCTTAGAGTTTTTAGAGAAGTATCCATCAGCAACACTTTAACTGCAGTTATTGAAGACTGAAGTGCTGAGGGTGGCCAGGTCCTTGGACATTGCTCTCAAGATTGTGCTCCCAACACATTTTGCTTCTGCTGCAAGGAACACTTCAGACAAACAAAGTTCAAATTAGCCAAAGGACTGGCCACACATGCAAAGAAATATGTAATCTAGGTGCTCTTATCAGAATTCTGAAAAAAAAAAACTGTCGTTTTTAAAGCAAGATACTATCCCTTATGGCAATCAAGAAGAATTTGAAAATGCATTTTTAAATTTTAAATTGCTGAAACTAACGTTTTCTTCAATAATGAAACCAGTAGGCTCCTATTGATAGAAGAGAACCCTCCTCCTCCTTATACTGGCAGGGAGGGCGGGGTATAAATCAAATAAATAAATAAATGCTGCTGATTGGCATTGGCCCTATTTCATCTTCAGCAGGGGCCCAGCTGCAGTTCAGCACCTGTTTGCACATGTGGAGATTTACAGACACTTACTTCCTCATACATGCACCCAGTACTAAAATAGATAATATGGTTTCATCAACTTTTTATAATTACCTTTTATAAGCTTTCAAAACTAACTCAGATGTTTCAGAACATATTTTAACACAGCCACTGCACTCCTTGATGCCTGTCATGTCTATGAAAGAGACAGACATCTTGTAGGCAGAGGTTAATCACCTATGTATGTCACGTGAGATTAAGACTTCTGCCTTGCAATGCATTTCTAGTGTGGATTTTTCCAGCGTTGTACTGTTAGGGCGTTAAGATCTCTACTAAAGAATTATGGCTTGTGTTTGCTGGTCCTCCGCTTAGGTCCTTTGGAGTGTTGCTTTGGGAGATCTTCTCTTTAGGCTATATGCCTTATCCTTGCAAAACCAACCAGGAAGTACTAGAGTTTGTCACCAATGGGGGCCGAATGGATCCACCAAAGAATTGTCCAGGGCCTGTGTGAGTATATCTTCCTTCTTTAAAAAGACAAAAAGCAGGCCTGAAAGTATTTACACCTTAGTAAAGTCTACATTAATAATAAAAGATTCTTGAATTTCATTTTGTGAATGATTGTGGAGATATAACAAAGGCCAAGCAACTGATCTATGGTAGATCTACCAGCAATACATGTTACAGAAGTTCAACCTCACATTCGTTTATAATAGGGTTGCCAGGCAAAACCCTGGCAACAAGTGAAAGGATTGGGGCAGGGACATAGAAGAGGGCACGATGTCATAGAGCTCCTAGAGAATCCTAGAACTACTCTGTGTCTTTTCCAGATTTACCACTGCCACTTCTAAAAAATTTTCTCCCACCACCTCTCTGAACCTTAATTTATGATAATTTGCAGAGCATGGAAAAGTCTACCTTGTGTTTTCTTTAACACCACTCTGCAATAAGGGGGTGTGTGTGAATAAAAGGAGGAAGAATAGCTGTTTTCCTTTTACATCTAATCTCAAAGTTACTTGTACCTTTTTTTTTTTAATCCAGTTGGAAATCTGGTTTTGGCCACTTTTCAACCAAATCCCCCCCCCCCCCAAAGAAACCCTCTTCTTAGAAATATAACCATTGCCCTGATCTGAATAGCCCAGGCAAGCCTGATCTCATCAGATCTTGGCAGCTAAGCAGGGTCGACTGTGTCAAGTACTTGGATGGGAGACTTCCTTGAAATACTAGAGGCAGGAGGTGGTGGCAGGCTTTATTCAGCCATCTCTCTGATTATCCTCCTGGCCCCTAGTAGGGGTCAGTCACCAGAGGTTGCCATGACCTCCAGGTGCACAAACATGCATGTATTAAAAAATACCAAAAAAAAGATACCCATTCAGAAAATGAATGAGTGCTTTTGAATGGCTTGTTTTTTAAAGTCACCATTCTGAATCTAGTCTGCCCCTCAGTGGCTTGGTTATGAAACAAGATGCTGGGACAGTCATGAAAAGATCTTCCCAGTTTTTCTTAAATGGAAACAGCAGTTGTGCTGGGCCTCTTTTGAATTAGACACAGTGTGGGGGAAATGGGGGGGGGTGTTAACCCTTCTCTACCCAGCTCCACATGTAGTTTCACCAGTCAAAACTGACCCAGCCCCGCTCTCCTGGCTGCTGGCAGAAGACACAGTCACCTTCTGTTTTTCCTGGCTTTTCCACCTGGTGGAGGAAACAGCAATTGGGAGGTTTCAGCTGTCATGCAGAATGGAAAGGATTAACCCCTTCCCTCTATAAAGGCATCCTTTAAAAAAAAATGCTGGGAATGTATGTTCACACATCTCATAGCATAACATTGTCAGGCCATAGGAGAAAGGGAAAACATAAAGATGTATTTTTCCATCTTTCTGACGGGGAGGTTTTTTTTCTTGGTATCTTTGTCAAGTTATCGGATCATGACTCAGTGCTGGCAACACAGCCCTGAGTATCGACCCAACTTCTCCACCATTCTGGAAAGAATCAAGTACTGCACACAGGTAAGGTGCCCTTTCATGTCATATAACCATATTTAATTTTAGTATGGTGGTGGGCAATACATAGTCCAGGACCCACAAAGTTCCCATCCAATGTAATGTATGTGCATCCAGTCTTTTCAGGCCTCCTTACCTAGCTCAGCCCCCCCGTGCTCCTGAAAAGTTTCTTAAAATTTGGGGGATCCTCCCTTCATTGTAGTCTTTGGCTTCAGCTAGAAAGGGAAAATCAGCTGCTCTTATATTGGGAAAACGGAACATTCAGACACAATCAGGGTAATGTTACACCCATATATATGCATGTTGTATGTGCAGGAGAGAGAGCCTGATATGGACTGTCACTGTTAGTACATAGAAAATCCAGTATTCTTAATTGTGTTGCAGGACCCTGATGTGATCAACACAGAACTACCCATTGAATGCAACCCAACATCAGAGGATGAAGGAAACACAATGTTGCATCCAAATAGTTCCACCAGCATGGTTCCTTTGCTGGGAAACACTTCTCTTACACCCCAGGCAAGTACATTAGACGACTGTAATCCAGGGCCCAAATATGTACAATATCCACAGAAGCTGCTGGTGGATAACCTGGCTAACTGCACAGCCAAAGGACCTAACATGCCTTGTTTCAGTGATTCCATCACTGGAACTTGGACCCAGCCAACTCCCAACCAGCAACCAGAATCCACAAGTCAACCAGCACACAAGTTGAAGAATAAAACCAAAAACCTTTGGAACCCAACTTATGGGTCCTGGGTCTTGGAAAATATTTGCCAGCCTGGACCCAGCTCCAAAGTAACACGAGACCGAGAAGACTCAGGATTCGACGGGAACTGCAGTTCCTCCCCTAGTCCTCGGGCATCACCAGCATCTCCAAGTCAGAGCCATTCTCCTCACATTGATATTGGTGGGATTGAACTGGTGAAGCTACAGAGTTTCCCTTGTGGCAATGTGAATTATGCTTATGATGATCTTTGCTATGAAACTAATCAGCCTTCAAACTTGGTAGCAGAGCCAGCCACACTGCTGAGGAGTGCCAGCCTTCACAGAGATGGCAAGCTTTTCAACAAACCAGAGAAAACCTCCAGAGAAAGGGACTCTGGCCTTTCCTTGTCTGATGATCTGAGTGTTACACCTGTATAATGGTGTGCTCCTCCAAAAAGTGAAGACTTCGCTGTGGGAGTGAGCTATGACTGCGAGAGCAATTAAAATGTGCTTTTTGTTGTTGTCATCATATTCCTCCCTCTCTCCATGTTCTAAAAGCAGATGGTTTAATGTTGTCTATATCAGGCTTGGAGCACCGTGAATGCCCAACACCCTTCAAAATGATAAAATATAGTCCAGCCTATTAGGCCAGTACTGGACCAGGGGTTACAGAAGATAATGATGTTTCTGTTACAAAGATTCAGGGTCTAATGTTGCATAGAGACAGTCATACACAACCCTCACTGGTGTGGGGGGAAACATCTCATAGTCAAATAGAATATGTAAGAAACAGCCAAGTTACTGATTGACTTGTGGCTGGTGCTCCCTACAACTGATACACCTGTAAGACTAGTGTAGCTGAAGTGTAGTGGGCTAGACGCATGTAGTGATCAGCATGGCTTACTAGTACACAACAAAGACTACTACTGGCCGGCTGGCCAACTATATACACACCTGGGGACACCCCCCTAGGTCCCGTTGGTGGGTTCAAATCTCCCGCCACGGTCCTATTGGTTCCCAAGTGGAAAGACTAGGAACCTAGTCCCCATTGTTCCTACAGAGTCAAGCTCGGGAGTATTCGCTGGCCCCTGGCTACGGCGGAAAGTAGCAGCGTGAAACAAGCCCAGCTGGGCCTGTACCACGTACTATGGCTGAAAAGGTAAAGTAACAGTAGAGACATTAATATATGCACACACAAAAAGAACCCATGTGCAGGAAGTGAGTAGAAGATATCCAAGAGTGTTCTGTAGCAAGAATATTAAAAACTCAGAAAACAGAGGAGTAATGGGAATTGATACTTTCCTTTATGATTACTGAAAGTTGTTTTGCACCACTTTATAGGTCAAGCTTTCACTTCTTGGTCTTGGAAATTTCAGGAGTTACCCTTCTTTATCTTTAGGGAAGTAGACCTTTTCTGTTAATGGCCTTTACTGACAAGGAACACTTAGCTGTTGTTATTTAAAGCAAGGTCAGAAAAAACAATAATTCTATGGGGAACCCCATCTTAATAGGTAAAGACTATTACTAGTTCTTGTGCGTTTACCAAACAGCTGATAGGCTCCAGATTATGGTATGTACTCAATATTGGCAGGTTAAGACAAGGACGGGGACACAAAGCTATTTCTTAAAAGCTTGTGGCTCCATTGCAGAATATAAATAGAGCTCCATAAATTGGTGGCTCTATGGAAACCCCCTCCCCCTTTCCTATTACCTGTGTCAGTGCAGGGATACTTGTCTTTTACACATGAAAGCTTTTGTCTTGGGTGGTCCTAAATAAAAAAGAAGCATGTTTAAATGTTTGGCTACATATGCTCATAGTGCAGGCAGGTGTTTTGCCAAAAGCAGGATGCCTTCCATAGTATCCAGTTTTTGGTCAAGTACAGGAAGCCACCTCCCTGAAATCACTGACTGCCACCTCCTCTCCAAGTTTGGCATGGCCCTTTCAGATAAAAGGTAGATTTCTCCCAAACCACACAACATATACGTGTGTGTGTTATACACAGAACTGGCCACAGCATGCATGAGAAGACCTACTTTTAGTACAAATGCTCTGTTTCTCCCATGCCAGCACAACAAGAGGAAAAGTGGGCAAGCAAAGATGCATTTAGACATCTTAATGCCAAATGAAATTATAAAAGGTGCAAGTATCCAGGAGGAAGGACAGTAATGGGAGCTCACTTAAAATGCTTGCTCCCTACACACTTCCCCCCATACATGTTAAATATTATCATGAGAAAACCATTACATTTCAGAATACAAATCCTAGAAACAGCCCATAGAAGCAGGTTTTTAAGACCACAAAAAGATGCCTTAACACTACCTCATCCCTTATCTACCACATACTTCCTTGACCATCCAATTCACAATGTTCTATAAAATAGCATTCCCATTAATCCAGACTCTCAACATTTTGGTTATGAGCCTAAATACTTTTAATAGGAAGTCATTCCCATTGAAATAATAACAGTGAACCGGTTCTAATACAGTGATGTGACAAACCTACTTTATATTTTAAAGCCCTGCTTTTCTGAACTTCATATTCTTGGAAACTGTTCACAGTGTACTCAGTTCTGGTTCCACCTGGTGGTTCTTAAATTATTACATGCAGAAAAAATCACTACATTCTGTATAAAAATGCCTGTGGATTTATGTGCAATTTTAGTCATCAATGTAATAATCTTCACAGGCCTCATTGACTTCAGTTTGCCCTTTTCATTGATTTAAGCAAGAACTGAATTAGGCTTAAACACCATTCTCTTATACTTTTCTTAAGTGATGATGCTTTAGAAAATTCAGGCTGTGATTTATAGGTCACTATGTTTCCATATCTGTCTACTTTGATAGATTTTGTAAAGCATGTCTTAAAGAAAGGCTTTTGTAATATATATACACTAACCAAAAAGGTGTGATGTTTAAAATTGTTGGCTTTCTTTTTTGTGTGTGCAGTTCTAACGACGGCTAGCAACACTCCTATTTCCACATCTTCCTTGCAGGCCCTTCTTCCTTCCATCTTTCTTTGATTCCACATATGTTCTACACCATTCTCTCTCCTATTTGCTTCATCTGAGCACCAGCTAATCCAGCATCCTGTTTCATTGCTATTCTAAATTGAAAACCCCTCCTCTCCTTTAATTTGGGTATACTCAACCCTGTTTCCTTTTTCACACTAGCAGAGAATCCAGACAGAATCCAGCTTTCTGTGATGACACAGAGATTTCATCTTCTTCACACTTACATTTAAAATTGCTTTTGATCTGTGATTACCTCTGAGAATGGCAACACTGCTTGCCATACTGCCCTTCGGGGTCAGTGTAAATAATGTGGATAACAAAACTGCTTCTATGCAATTTCAAAATCAAATAAATGTATACTGCTATATTTGCAACACAGAAATAAAGACATCCTCCTAAACACAAATGTTCAGTCTCTTGTTTGTGTGCTGGATGCAAGGAAAGAGGCCACAGGTATCACCTAGATTGTTAAAAATCCAAGTCCTGTTTTTGGAGATTATTTGTGCTACCATCTACACCAAACATCTAGCTCCTCCCAGATACCAGCTAATGAGTTTTGGGCAGGAGACAGCCACATGTGTATTTATGTACTCCTCTGTCATACATATAAATTATCTCACACAGCCCTCAAGGATATTAATTCGACCTTTTCCACTGGCTGTAAGAGAGAACTAGATTAGGTCCAAATCTATTAAATTTTTTAAAAAGAATTGAAAACATGCAGCTTCCCTTGGTATATAAACACACAGACATACTTTTGCCCCTCTGTTGCCTTTGATCAGATTTTTTAAAGATGATACAAAGTGTTTACACTATGAGTAGTTTTTGAAACGACCTTTCAATTATCTGGGGAGCAAGGGACAAACACTGCAATTCTCCACCTTTTTTGTAGTAACTTACAATAAGTGGTAGCAATTAAAATGAAATCCTGGAACTAGGATCAGGTTCTTCACTGTGCATCTTATGGGTGCAGAAAGTCTATGGGGACAGATCAATCTCTCCTTTAAGCAGAAACAGCATGATCTTATATTGCAGCATTCAGCTGGATTCAAAAAAGTGTTCCCAGGAGGTGCTTGCAGACAGACTGTCCCATCTCTCTCTCCCTTTGCTCAGCAAACCAAGGCATCCCAAAAGCTAATTCTGGAGGTCATGGGACCCATGTAGACAAAGATCTGTGTGTCCTGTTGTGCTGCAGTGAAGACGGAGATTAGGAGAAGTCATCTCACCTGCACTTGTATTAATGGAAGCACTGCTGGCAGAAGAGGAAGAGGAAGTAATTCCACCCAGTGCCCCTTCCTCACTGCAGCCCCCCTTTCCCAGCTGTGTGGCTTTTTAACCATGTGGGTCCCCCGTGTTTCACTGGATTCAACCCAGTATCTGAAAATGAATGAAATGAAACCTTTTTATCACGGTTTTCAGATGGGGATATTTAACCTCTAAATTACACATCATTATCATTTATGAAAATATTTGTTTTGTTCCTCCACCCCAGTAACTCACACAATGTTGACAAATGAGCCAATCTTTATGTAGGGAACCACTAACCATAAAATAACTTAAAATAATCTTCTTGGAGCTCTGTTGCAGAGCAGTATCTTTTAAAATCTCATTGAACAGCTGAGCCAATTCTTAGTGCTCTCTTCAAACATGTTGGTGACTATTTGTTAACATAGTAGAAACCAGTAATATGATTTATGACTAATAGTTTTTATAAAAATAATGTAGAAAGGAGATGATTAGCTGATACCATTACACAAAGAAATGGGATGTTTAAATACCAAGACCACAAAAACATTCAGTATTAAAAATCAAAATTGACATCAGTTTTCAGTTAAATTTATTTGTTAATCGCACATCTTAAAGTACTACATTCTTAACCTATACTGCTAGGATGTCAGAATCAGTACCTGGTTTGCACTGTAGTGTTCCGATCAACAGCCTCTGTAGATAAGACAAACTTTTCTTGTCTTGGTTTATACTAATAAAAACAACTGCAGACATTTGAAAACATGATTTCCCCGTAGCTAAAATCTAGCTATGAAATTCAACAGAAGGATATTTAGTGGATATTCTCACTGCAAGAATAAAAGGTATGCCTGTCCTTTCTGGGATGGGAGTTTCCACAATTTTATATCGTCCACGAGATTTATTTCAGAGCAATACAAATTCTTTTAGAGTTCTACATATTGTACTTTTCTTTGAAGGAAAATGCTTTGAACAATAATATATGAATCCTCACAACAACCCTGTGGGTAGGACAGGTCCCTACTTTGCATTTGAAACTGGTGGAGAAACCAGCACCAGCAGACCTGGAGATGAGAAGTTCTTATCTTCCAACTCTACAGTCCCTCCTGTTTGCCTTCACAAAAGCCTACCACATCTCCTCACTAAAATGAACAGTGGATCACAATCTCTTTCTATTCAGGTCTCCCCGAGCACCAGCCTAACCCCTACATGGTTCCCTGGAACAGCAGATCATACAAAGTGGTACCTTTGCTTCAACATATAGAAAGCACTTTTCTCACACATTGCCACTTTGGAGAAGAGCAAGTGGAGGTAAGAGGGCTGATGCCACAGCGCACTACAAACAGGGTAGGCAAAAGACAAGGCAGGAGGAAAGGGGCACAATCAGTGAATGTTAGGCTGCTGCGAAGTGGAAGATGAGCAACAACAGCTTGTCACATCCTGACTGAAATCCAGTAGCAGGAAGCAGCCCTGGAGCTCAGTAATCCATAGGATTGGCAAAGGAGGAGGCATAGAGGCTGCTGGGTGCACAAGTTCTGTGTTTAAGTAGGAAAGGGAGAATACCTGTGTGACTGAGGCCCCAGGCTGCTAGATGGCTGCCCTGTTCCCTGAATGGGGAGGGGCCATGGCCCAGCGGCAGAACATGCTTTTGCATGCAGAAAGGGCCTAGGTTCAATCTGACATCTCCAGTTAAAAGCATCAGACAGTAAGTGATGTGAAAGAGACCCTGCTGAACTGTTGCCAGGCAGAGTACAAGAGCTGGTCGAAGTGCTAGGGAAGGGCAGTTTGTCTGTTGGATTCCTTATTTGCTATATTTGTTTCAGTAATTAAACACTGGCTACAGTATGGGTATATTTCATTGAGTACTTCTTATGTCTTGTATTCTCCTTAGTGTATAATGCCAATAAAGGTTTGTTGTTGTTGTATGGGTATATTTCCTGTATTTTCACTTTTTTAATACACTGAAATCTTCCCTGAGACTTTCAGACAGGGCCAGGTAAAACTGGAAACACAACCATTACCCCCTCTCAAGTTTTCCTTTAAAGACTCTTGTGTTACAAACAAATGGCCTGTAACTCAACATTTGGAAATTACTATTGTAAAGCAAGCCCTGCAAGCAGCTCAAAAAAAGGCCACTGCGAGCCACTTTACTATGCCTGCCACTATGGCCCTGGCCACTTCCGCAGCCCTCCTCTCTACACACGCAAGCAGTGTTTCATTTTAAATGCCTTTTTTCGTGATTAACATATCTTTTTAAATACAGCAAAACTGGTATTTTCAGTCTTGTTTCCAATGTTCAAACCCATCAACCAATCAATGCTTTATCAGGCATACTACCTGCATTTTTGTGTGTGCCAGGTCTTAAACTTGGGCTCATGGCTGATTAATGACCATGTTTAATTTGAAGTCGCTCGTTTTAGAATATAACAATAATTAGCTCAAAGACTGAACTGAAAATGTGCAGAGTTTGTATGCTGCTATAGCTTGAGTAATGCTGCTTTGAATTTTAGTGAATTTTTAACTTTACTTGGTCAGGAATTTCAGTGAACTCAGAGCAAGCATGGAGCAGGGAACAGTGTTTCTTGATTACTGCAGTCTTTGCACCACAAGTGGCAAACTTTTAATTGCTTGCTCCAACTCAGAATGACACAAACTTATAACCCAGTCCAGTCGTGCAGCTATGGCTGCTGAAACCAATACCAAGTTAAGTGGCCAGGAGGTGGGGGAGATCACTGTTGTTCACAGTGCCTATCTGCTGATCCACAGAGAATGGATAAAGCAAGGACTCTTGCACTAACTGCCAGAAGCTTCAGCAGCACTGTGTGAACACTTTCAAACTGTTCTGCACCATATGAGAACTAGAAGTTTTAAACAAACTCAAAAGCTGAGATGTCTATAAACTCCATACCAAGTCCCATGTTACACAAGCAACCACATGAAATTTGAACAGCCCTGTCTATAATGTGAACACATAGCCTAGGATTAAGAAGGGAGTCTGCCTATTATTTATGATGGTGGCTCCTTTTTATAGAGGAACTTCATCCCATGGTATCCAAGCAATTTAGCTTTTACTCTGGATTGCTGAAGGGCAGTATAGAATTACACAATTCACCAACAACCAGTTGTCCTGATACGCTGTCAAATATTCAGGACACATTCTGTTTGTTCTATAAAATCTGAAGTTAGCTTGGTAGATTCACAGCTGCCCCTGCGCTGCTCAAGTTCTCACAGGCCTACTGCAGGCTGGCTTTGGGTTTCCACCATATTTTACAAAAAGGCAAATATTTCTGGATGTCTCCAGAGTCTGGCAAGAATTTTTGTTGGTTTTTTGTTTGTTTTTTTAAAAAAGTTTCCCTCTAACCACGGGATTGATTCTGGAAAAGTTAAAAATTATGGAGCAATATACCACACAGATTGTGGGCCAGTCTCTTCTCATCTCTCCAAGATACTTTCTAAGATATCAATCAAATTGTCCAGTCCCAGTAAGTAGCCATCCTCCCGGTTGCCTTCCTGCCAAGAGATCCTATGGTCCAAGGTCTGCTCATCTGGAAGAAGGGTAGTCTTTCCAAAATCTATGAGCCACACATTGGCATGCCCACTATCATCATGCACAAACAGCAGTGAACTTCCAATGACCTACAGAGGGAAGAGAGAGAGACAATGAGAGCTGTTTTCTGAGAACTCTCAAACCTATCACGGACAAGGGTTTGCAGTTAATGGACTTCACCCTCCACAAACTTGGGAGCCACCAAGTTAACCTCTAAGACGAACTAGCTCATGAACTAAAGTTCGTTACGAATGTTGTTCGGTTTGTGGTTCACAAAGTAATGTTTGCAAACTGAAGAACTGCCACAAACTTCCACAAATTTTGATGCCACACGTGCTGGTTTGTGAAGAGCAGAAAGCAAAAGTATCAATGGCTCCAAGCTATTTAAACCCCAGCTTTCTGCTCCCCACTGCTCAGCTGTTTGATTTATATGGCTCAGAGCCATTTAAACCACTGCCTTCTGCTCCCTGCCGCTTTCGGTAAGGAGCAGAAAGCAGGGGTTTAAAGGCTCACAAAACGATACAAACTGGTTTGGTTTGCGAACCAGCATATCAGTTCATTGTTCAGCCATGAACCACAAATCAAACCACAAAAATGTGGTTCATGCCCATCCCTGTTCAGAAATCACACCCACACCTATATTTCAGTCTGAAGCCCCAAAAATGTGTAAGCTGTTACTTAATGCAAGCATATAATTCAATGATTTGATAATATACAGCTGAATGGGTGAACAGACTTCAATGAGAAGAAATGCATTTGAGAATTTTTTAAAATACCAACTCCTCCAGCTCTTGATCTCAATGTGGTCATTTACCTAAGTGACAAACACATGGGGAGAACTGATAAATTGGTCCCAGAAGTCCATGTTCTTGCTCACGCACAAGCCTTCTCCTATAGCATGTGGCAGGGCTTGTTTGCCAAGTCTGATCCTCCTATGCCTGTTTTAAAAGTGATGCTGGCAGGACAGAAGAACTTCTGTGTGAATTTAAACTAGGGTTGCCAACTGCCTGACAAAAAAGTCTGCCTTTAATATAGGCTTAATTTACCCTCCTGCCACAAAAAAATTTCAACTCCTACAGATTATGACATTATTAAAGGGACCGGACATTTTTACCCAGGTCTGTTAGCAAACCTAGTCTGCACAAGCCCAGCATTTTGTTTAAGACGGGAGGATATGTGTGTAAAGTCTCAACATTAGCACAAGACCTGCCTAGCTATGGCTCTCTGACATGTTAATACATATTGTGGCTGTGGGCACAGTTTAAACCAGACATTGGACATGCACAAGGTGGCACAGCCAAGATCACCTTTCTCATCAATCTCACATTTAAATTAGGCCTTATTCTCTGTTGCCACACACCATAATTTTGATATGGGCCAATTCATTTAATTGTGTAAGTAAGCGGGACTTTGTCTCAGAGAAGAAAGGACTGGGTGATCTCCAGATTGGCTCAAGATATTCTACACAGCTGTCATTTCCCATGATTATTGTAACAACTTCCTCTGAAATTAAGTGGCAGTAAATCAGTAGTACACTGGCTGCCACCCTCAACTCACCTCATGCCGTTTAAAGAAGTCAGAAGACTCAAGGATGATTCGAATTTCATACAGACGCTTCAAGTATTTTTTCTATTTAAAAAAAGAGAGAGGAAGTCAGGATCTCTTAAAAATCTACTGCCATATCAAAAAAGGAGAACACAATTAAAAAAAAAAGCCTGGTCAACTCTGATATAGCGGAAGTTCCATCAGGGAAATTGTGTCTCTGAGTAATTTGAGAGTTATCTGAAAACAAACATCAGCACAAACCCCAAAACCTCTGAGAGTGGGAGTTTCAAAGGATAACATTTTTGGCAAATCATACTCCACCGACGCTCAAACTGCAAAGGACATCTTGCAAAGATGTAATACCTTTTAATTCACAGAGCAAAACAAAAACAACAAAGTATCAAAGCATGAAACAACACTTCATTAAACCCATGACACAATCTCAACAAACCCAATGTTACTTTTTCAGGGAGAAAAATAATTTAGTACTTTTCTACCAACCCTAATTCCATAACAAAGGCCTTTTGCCTCTTTAGAGAAAAGCCTGCAAAGCACAAGGCTCTTATGGTTTGATCAACTCCTATTAATGGAACCAAAACTCAGTCAAAGCAGCTGTATGTTCTTGGTGTAATGTTCAGATCAGAGATACATTCTATGTCAACCTGTCCTGAAATGTCTAAGTCACAGAATAAATTACATTGCTACATCAAAGCCCAAGGAGAAGTACCATGGATTTCCTCACACCCTTGCTTACTGATTCTTGAAGACTTCCTTCCTTCTCCAAGATGAGAAGAAACATCACGGTGGTTTCCCCTCCCTTTGGGATTTTTCAGAGGGATCTCTGCTGTCAGACAGGGGTCATACATTTTCTCCCCCATGGTGCTAGCTGTTATTGCTACATATTTTAAGTAATTAGCATCTACCTGCCACTTACCTTGGGACTTATAATGTACATCAGCACTAAACAGGAAGATGATATATAAACATCAACCTGGCAGCTAAGATTAGTCTAAGTTTGATTAATGTATTCACATGCTAATTTGGGAGAGAGACAAATGTGTATTTTAAAATTTACAAACACAGAGACAGGAACTGCTATTGAATCAGGACCAATGTGCCCTCTAAGCTGAGTTAGTGTGAGCTAGCTCACCAGTTTTCAGCCTCCGGCTCACACATTTTTGTCTTAGCTCAGGAAGGATGGCTCCAGAGCAACCTAATTTATGCAGCAGCCAAATCGCTTACTCACAACTTCAATGCCAGTAGCTCATAAAGTAGAATTTCTGCTCACAAAACTCCACAGCTTAGAGGGAGCATTGATCAGGACCCCCTGCTACATCCCTGAATCTTTCAGAGCACCCCTGTGCACTATACAATGTAAAGCACCCCATCGCTCTTTTGTTGCCATGCAGCCACTACAGATGGCATTATTAAAGACTCTTAAGACTGCCTTTCTGAACTGTGAAAAGTGTGTGTCAGGGCAATGGACAGAATTTTGTTCCCAAGAGAAGTGCCCTATACTGGACTATGGAAAGTGCACTGTGGCCAAGGGGAGCCTCGTGCCTAAGAAGCATGCCAGCCGTATGTGGACCTGGAACTAAAGAAGCCTCCTGCCCCTGCACCTCTGCAGCCATGCCAGCACCAGGATTCAGACCAGCAGCCCTGACCTCCATGCATGCAAAAACAGCAGCAGATCAAAGAAGGAAGCCATACTCTGCAAAAAGTACAGATGTTCTTGAAACAGAAGCCACGAGGGATTCCCTTCTCCATCATGCAGGCCTTCCCCCTCCCACCTTTGTGTGTTAACTTCACTAGGAAAAACACACATTCCTCTCCCTCTTGAGCCAGCCTAAGCCAAAAGGATGTGCTCCGCGTCAGACAATAACCAGCAATCCAGCCTTCCTGTCCACCATCACGATAACGCCGCTGTCAACATGTGGTCATTAAACTAAAGCACCGGCCCTGCAACCCGACTGGTTCTCTTCCTTCTCTCCTTTGTCTTACCACCTTCCCCCAGAGGTGTCACTCCCTGCCAACCATTAAGTTTACAATTGCCCAACTATTAATCCCTTTATGCCCCATTCAGAGTTTAAGTTTTTCTAATATCTCCTGGGGACCAGGTGACCACATAAGCCGCTGCCTCAGGTCACATTTTAAGGTATTTAAGGAGAGCCCTCCCTGGGCTCACTCTCTTGCTTTTGTCTCTCCCAACCCTACCCTATCTTGGTGGTTCCATTCCTGTACAGTTTGGGACCTTTCCATGTGTGTCGCTGGTCAACTCACAACCCCTTCCCTTGTTTTATCCCATTTTTCGCTGCAGAATCAACTTGTCTTGCTGGACAGGTAAAGTATCACCCAACCAACAATACTTCCTGCTCATACTAACGTCCCTGTATTTTCTACTCTGTATTCATAATCTTGTACCGTGTGTGTGAATGCTTGATTTTCTGTTTGTATGCTCGAAAAACCTTTAATAAAGAAATAATTGCTCTAGCAATACAGCCTCTTCGTCTATTCCTGGGTCCTGGGAACTCTGACTCCCATATACATAGATTATGGTCCTATATTTAATGCCTATTGTCATTTAATACTCATAATTCCCCACATTTATTAATAAAAAAAGGCAATTTAGCTAACACTTTCTGCCCCTGTCACTCTCCTAGCCTCCTATCTACTTCCATCAACCCACAGCAGCCACTCTCCAGGAATCATTTAATCATTTAAATGTTAAATAGAATAAACTGGGTGATTGATGGTGTTTGGGTACGTGAAGATCCTAGTAAATAATCTCCAGGCCCATTTAAACTCAAACAAAATGTGGTTTTGGCAGACCTTACTGTTAATCTATAAACTCAGCTCATCAAAGTAACTGTTTTAATTGTGGGATCATTTTTGTGGATCTTTCAACTACCCACACAATGACTTTTCCTTCTTTTTTAAAGACCCCAGTTTGTGGGTGAGAAAACAGATGATGTGACAACTAAGCCTTGTGGGATTCCAGGAGCCGATCAGTCATTTTTGGCTGTGGAGTCGGCACAGCTGCTTTCAATGCTGGCAGGAAAAACTTCCAGCAGGTACAATGCAGGCATGGTAAGTCTGGGGCTGTCACTCCCCCCCACACACACACACAGCAGCAGCGGCAGCAGCCACTCTCCAGGAAATCTCAACAGATTACCCAAATACAGGGATAAGTTCCTTTTAGGGTTGCCAGCTCCGTGTTGGGAAATTCCTGAAGATTTGGGGGTGGAGCCTTGAGAGAATGAGGTCTGAGCTTGGAAGTGACCTCAGCAGGATATAATACCATAAACCCCACCCTTACAAACAGTCATTTTCTCCAGGGGAACTGATCTCTGTCATCTGGAGATCAGTTGTAATTCCAGGAGATCTCCAGCCCTCGCCTGGAGGTTGGCAGCATTAGTTCCCCTGGAGGAAATGATTGCTTTGGAGGGTGGAGTCTAGATCTGTCTGAAGTCCCTCCCTCAATCCCCACCACCCCCAGGCTCCATCCCTTAAATATCCAGGAATTTCCCCAACCTGGAGTTGGCATCACTATCTCCTTCCCATCCAACTTCCAACCAACCTTTATCTGCCCCTCTGTCTTCAGCTTTCCATCTCCTTTCCCCCTGAAGCTTCTATGGAGGAAAACTATGGTCTTTCTCCACAGTGGAGACTAAAGCAGTTTACATTATTCTCTGCTCCTTTTTATCCACACCAAAACCCTATGGGGTAGGTTAGGCTGAAAGTATGTGACTGGTCCAAAATCACCCAGTGAGCCTACACAACAAGATGGGGATCTAAACCTGGCCCTCACAAATCCTATTCTGAAGCTCTGACCACTATACTACACTGACTTTCATAGGGTGGTTGCTGTTGAACAGCAGCAAGCAGCCAGGCCTAGTTGAATCATGCAAGTCAGGTGGTATCAATTCACCCAGAGGGTGCTCCTAGGCCTACGTTTGCCAGCCTCCAGGTGGGACCAAGATATCCCCTAGAATGACAACTAAACTCCAGACAACAGAGATCTGTCCCTCTGGAGAAAATGGGTGGACTCTGTGGCATTATATCCAGCTGAGGCCTCTCTCCTCCCCAGACTCTGCACTCCTCAGACTTCACCACAGAATCTCCAGGAATTTCCCAACCTGGAGCAGGCAATCCTAGTCCCAGGCCTGGCTCCAAACCCCCTGCTGTTTAGCCATTCATACTGCAGGGGGAATTTTTCCCAATCCAAGATCTAGTTCTGCTTTTTTCCTTTTTTTCCCCCCCCCCCCCCCGCCTATCTCTCATTGTTGATATGGCAGGGTCTGGAGTAGACCCCTGTTGAGGCCATTTCAAAAGGTATTTGGGAGGGGAATTCAACCCTCCCCAAGCTGTGTATGTGTGTGTTTTTACTTTTGGGATTTTTCTTCAGACCTATGGAGTCCCCAGAGTCTGTAGAAAAACCTGTTGGGGGAGAGTATTCCTCCTATCTGTGGAAATAAGTATCCACACACAGAGAGGACCGTTGAGAATTAGATATATCGATTCCATGCATACATTTTTCTGTTTCTGCTCAACATCGAAAGAACCCCACCACCTGGCTACTGGAAATCCCTCAACTCTGCCCACACCCCCAATCTCTGGCTTCTGAGAATTCACCAGGCATTACCCACACCGTTGCAAGCATATCTTTACAGCCATAAGGGAATAAAACTTTTTTTTAACGGAAGCTCCAGTTCTCAGGCTGCTGAATTGAACCGTAAGTGTGGATTCTAAATATGCATAGCACTTACATAGAATCCTCACATGCACAAAGCCCTGGTCATAATCTCCATCAAGTGTTTCAACATGTAGATATCCAGCTCTTGCTCACTCCAAATTACCAACTGCCCTCAGCAAGGAAGAAGGGAACCAGGCCGCAGCAACCCTCCTCATTGTTGTCTGTATGCCCCAAACACCTTTTTTCCAATTGAATTTTAATTGATATTTGAATTCCTGTGAAACACTAGGAGTTTCTTCTATTTCTAACTAGAAAGTAGGGTGAATGAATGCATTTGTAAGAATGTGGCATTTAACTGAAAAGTCACCGTGCTGTTATTCAGGAATGGTAACACCACATGGATTAAAATGCTACGAGAACTCACATGTAGATGATTATGTTTCAAAAATCAGGGCTTACCAATGTAGCTGTATCTCCCTTAATGAATTCCACGAAAACTTGCCGAACTTGCTCCCGTGTCTTAGTTGTCTTGAAGTTGGTATTGCAGGTCCCATCAGCTTTCTTTAAGTCACAAAAGAGAGAGCAGAGAAGTAATTTTGGCCCAATACCAGCTTTGTTTGGCTGCTTCCACACAGAGACAATGAGCTCTGCTGAGCACTCGTCGTCAATGAAAGTGCAAAGGCACATCCATACGCAGGGGGACGGATGGGGGGACATGGTGGGCAAACCCACTCAGAGTAGATCTTTTAAGAAAGATCATACCAAATCTGGTTTTGGAAAGAACAGGCCAAAGCAAGGCAAGCTACAGAAGTGAAAAACTGGTACACAACTGGAAGGCTGTACAGAAGCTCCAAAGAAAACCACAACAACTCAAGCCAAAGCAAAACACTCGTGGGGAAGTGGCTTTTATCTGTCATCATTTAAAGGCAGCCACAGCATTTGTAAGAAAAGCAAAAAGGCAGAATTGGTCACTTTGATCCCCTTTTTTGTTGACAATAGATGCACAAGCCTTTGACAGAGGGACCTTTTTCTTCAGAAACGACTGACAGCAGCACAAGTGGGACTGAGCCAACTACTTTTACAATCTATTCTTAACTCATGATAACCCCCTTGGGTTTTGAGGGGCAAACACAGGGCTATAGGTGGACATGGCCCTTAGTAAACTTGTATTTCACATTAGCCAAACCCTACTTTAAGAAAATAAACAGTTGATATTTGGAAAAACCTGCCTGCACTTGTATGTTTTTGTTTTAAGAAGCTTACATGAACTGTATTCACATATAAATTTGCAAGATAAGATTTTAAAGAGCATCTGAATGTTCAGTGAAGCAGCCCACAAACAGGAAGTCTAAAATTTTACTGCTGAAAACTATACTATGACTGGAAACCCCAATGCTGAGCATGACAAAACTAGTCAAAATTCTGGTATGAATTTAATTGCCGTAAGTTAGTCTAGCAGCATTTTCTGCTTGAAGACAGTAGTGTTTTGAATATTTTTTTTCTGAAGAAGTAAATGAATAAAATGCACATTAACAGGCCATTCGGAGAGGCGGGAGAGGCAATACAGACTTAAGACAAAGGCAATGGGAAGCAACAGAGCATTACCAAGTGGCAAAGTTCTCTCCTGCCCTGGAAACTGTGCTTGGTTCCCTAGAATGTCTGACCCTTTAAACAGATAACAGTCATTGGGTTTTTGAGACTTCTCAAAAAGCAGAGAGAAGAAGAGTTGGATGTATGCCCCACCCTTCACTCGGAGTCTCAGAGTGGCTTACAATCACCTTCCCTTTCTCTCCCCACAACACACATCCTGTGAGGTAGGTGGGAATGAGAGAGCTCTGAGGGAACTGTGACTGATCCTAGGTCACCCAGCTGGCTTCATGTGGCGGAATCAAACCTGGTTCTCCAGATTAGTGCCTGCTGCTCTTAACCACTTCACCAAACTAGGAAGTAAGTTTTGACTCATGCCTAGCATTCTAACAAAGCCAGGTTCCAGCCACGTAGGATTAGGACCAAAGCACACATTAAGGATTAATTCATGCAAGTGTCGTTCACCTGCCCTATATCAGGGGTGGCCAAACTTGCTTAACATAAGAGCCACATAGAAGAAACATCAGATGCCTGAGAGCCGCTAGATATGAACAAATATTACACATACGTTTTTAGTGGAAAATATGCAACTTTGCTTTTTATTAACATTAAATAAGACCACCAGAAATAAAAACAAAAGGGTTTAAAAACAGATATTGACAATGATATTTAAAGAGACAAATGCTTTCTCCAAGCTGGCGAGGGGGGGGGGCCTTTGAGAATGCATTTAAAGTTAAAATTGCTTTCTTTCTTTGCTCCCCCCCCCCACCTCAAGCCTACCCAGGGAAGGAAACACTGACTAGGGAAGGGAAGACCAGTCAGGGAGGGAGGCATGCCTCCCCTTTGCTTCCCCAGCCACCCTGCCAGGAGCTGCACATTGTGTGTGAAAGAGCTGCATGCGGCTCCCAAGCTGCCGTTTGGCCACCCCTGCCCTATATCAAGGAAAAGCTGCTTCCAGAAAACAAAACTGGAAGCAAGGAATTGGTACCAGGAGGGTGAAGTACGTGTTTAGTACTTTTCCTACTTGCTGCTCTCTACTCCAAATCTATCTCAAGTAATTTTTCCCACCACAGGACTTCCAGGGTGTTTTTCATGTGGGCTCCCCTCAAGAAAAAAAGAGGCATTTGCTAGTGTTATATAACTTGGTCCTTGAAAGCCCATACACAGGGCAGTGTTACCTGATGGTCTGCCTGAAGTGATCAGCCTAGAACTGTTATGCTCTCAAGTTAATTGAATTCAGATGTATGTGCAGTTTGTGTTATGTGCCTGCCTCTCCAGACTCTCTTAAGTGTGCATTATACCTATGTATGACTTGCTTTTTAGGACATAAATTATATTGTAACTTCCCCTTTTGTATATATTCCCAATGATTAATGCTAACACTTATGAAAAACTAGACAAAATTCAGCTCTTGCTTCCACAGTGTAAACTAGTCAACCAGCATACACCCACATGAAACACAATGTCTTCAAGCAGAATCAATTAACTGCAGGGCAAGCCTATGCACAACACACTCTATTTCACAGATTTTCCTCCAACAAGATAAATCTCTTTGCCCTGAAAGGTGCAGGCTCAGACACAAAAGTAGGTGTCTGACAGAACATGGGAAAGTTATGCAACTCCAGTGCTAATCGTGGGCAGAGAAAACCAGGAGAATTTTGAAGCAATGTACTAACTGCAGCATGCTTGTGAGTACAGAAAAGGAAGCCTCTCCCAACTGCTGCCAGATGGTACAATAACTGGGGACAACATTCTGCAAAATCGGCCTAAGACTTGTGTGGGGAGACAATCTGAAAGCATTCTCCATATTTTTGGGACAGCACCAAAGCTCTTAGAAGTGTAATTTTAATTTTAAAAGGTAAAGGTTCCCTTGCTCGAAAGCCAGTCGAGTCACACTCTAGGGTCGTGGTGCTCATCTCCGTTTCAAAGCCGAAGAGCCAGCGCTGGAACTACTGACCTTCCAGCATTCTCAGTATTTCGTGGACAGCACCTGAGCTCTTAGAAGTTAAATTTTAATTTAAGTACCACAAAAAGATGTCTTTTAGGATTGCAGGGCAATGAAGCAACAAAAAATGGAGAATGCCACATACATCTGGTGCCTAAACAGCATTATTGCTTTCTTTTATCAGATACCCACTATGTGAGGTGGGGGACAGCACATGCCTACTTCACTGCACTGACCAAATAACCTTCAAGCAGTCCAATGGGTGACTAGGACATTCTCTTCAGCAACATCAGCAATATAACATACACGTACCACCTCAGAAAGGTCCTTTCCGCACTAGAACTTAAATCCTGGTTCAACCCTGTCCCTGAACTTACATTCTACACTATACTCGAGTTCACCCCTGTATCTTGGGGTATTTTTTGTTTCCACATTACACTGAGGACACCCCGGTTTTGCCCCACATTTGTCCTGGGATAAACGGATGCTGTTATAACCAGGGATAAATGCAAGGTATTGTGTCCCGAGTTGAACTCTGATCAAACCAGGGATGAGATCCAAGTGCGGAAAGGACACAGTAAATGACAGTATTTCAAGAAAAATTGCTGTTCACACAATAACTCATCAAGGTTGTCCTCTATTGCCTTTGTTTTTTATTTTGGCTACTGAACCTTTGGGAGAGAAGGCAGCATGGTATAGCCTGATCTCATCAGATCTCAGAAACTAAGCCGTGTCAGTACTTGGAAGGGAAACTACCAAGGAAGACTCTGCAGAGGATGGCAATGGCAAACCACCTCTGCTTGGTCACTTGCCTTGAAAAGCTCTTGCTGTGGTTGCCATAAGTCAGCTGTGGCTTGACGGCACTTTACATACACACACTGAACCTTTGGCTATAGCTATTTAGGATTCTGGAAAAAAGGAGTACATTTTGGTCACTGTTTCTAAAAATCTTTCTTTAAGCATATGATGCAGTTCTAAGTTTAACAAGATCACAAGTCTCACTTACCGAAGTGGTCAGCCTGAAACACACATTTACGGTGATATCAGGCTACAGAGCAAATATTAACTAAACAAGAATGGAATGGTTTTTTAACATCATCATCAGTCAACAATAATACAGTTAAAATCTGTTCTGTGCCATGGTGTGATCAGCTGGTCAGATATCTGGATATCTGGATGCTATAAGATCTTGATCTTTTGGTAGATATAATCATAATACAATATTCAAAGAAGTGACAAGGAGCTATACAGCAGCAGACATTTGCCAGTCTCTTGGCCGGGAAGAATCAGCTTAAGATGCTGCTGTAAAAATGAATGTGTTACCTAAACTTTATTTCTGTTTAAGAATCTGCCTCTTCAACTAAAACCTGCTACCCCTGCATCCCAGGAAAAAGGTATTAAAAATGTATTTCGAGTAATAACCCCCCAAGGGCAGCACTGAAAACACTGGTGTACCCTTATTAGAGGCAACTTGGGGTGCCTAATATAAAATTATATCACAAAGCAGTTAAACTAGCAGATACGAAGTGGTTTGTGTAGGACAAAGATATACTGATCTTGAAATCTTGAAAAAGGCCTGCAGTTGAGAGATATGATCTGGTTTCTGCAAAAAGTGTTGGAGGTGAAGTATTTAGTGATAAACTCCACCCCATCAGAGTGATATAAACTTAAATCATTTTAAAGTCTTGATCTTTCACCTCTAACTTCTGCTTTGTTTAATGATCAACTACCTATTTTTCATGAAATAATTTTAATGCCTGGAGGAATGGTATTCTGATGAGTTTGAAAGAATATTTTGTAAAATACTTCTGCAATGAAATCTTATTCATTACTCCTTATAAATTCCTCATAAATTTATTTATAGAAATTTATCAAACGTGTATTAGATCTATAGTTGAGACATGTAGATTTGATACACATATTTTGGACATATTCGATATCTAAGCAATTTAGGCAAAAATGCAGTAATATACCACCAGATTCAAAGATAGTTCTATTAGGATATTTAAAGGGATTGGTACCTTCTTCAGAAACTGAGTTATTTAGTTTCAACTATGCTTACAGCTGCTAAAAGGATTATTGCAGCATACTGGAATAAAACAGAATGCCCTTCTATAAAAACTGATTTAATCATATTCGAAATGTAGCCTTATTAACTAAATTAACATATTACCAAAGGATGCAAAGAAATAACCTACAATGTGCAGAATGCTAAACATCTGAAGAAGTATAGTCTTACAAAAGATTAAACTGAAACAAATATATCATTTTGCTTTTTTGAATTGCTGTAAACCTCCTTCTCTTTGTTTTTCCCATTTGTATTGCACTATTATACAGTGAGTGCACTAATAAAAAATAGAAATGTCACCAGTGGCCACTGAGAATGTATCCTCACCACTCATCAAAATACATTCAGAAAAAATGGAAGATAGAGGCTACGAACTTATTAGTTTTGAATCAGATTTTTTTTGTTCTTGTGTACTCTTTACCCATATTGTTTAAAAGTTCCTTTCTCCCCACCACTGTACCTGAGGAATAGCTACAAATGATGTGATAAAGGTTTATGAAGATTTGAAAATCTGCAGGCTTTGAAATTTATTATGACTGAATCAGAATGCTCTCTACCCTATTCCTTGACAGAGATGGTACCTTCCTGAGTAGCTCTAGCCCGAAAAGAATTCCATCTTGCCTAATTTTCAGTTTGGTATAGTGGTTAAGTGCGTGGACTCTAATCTGGGAGAACCAGGTTTGATTCCCCACTCCTCCACTTGCAGCTGCTGGATGACCTTGGGCAAGCTATAGTTCTGTCAGAGCTGTTCTTGAAAACAGCAGTTTCTGTCAGAGCTCTCTCAGCTCCACTTACCTCACAGGGTGTCTGTTGTGGGGAGGGGAAGGGAAAGGAGTTTGTAAGCTGCTCTGGGGCTCCAAGTGAAGGGCTGGGTATAAATCCAGTCGTCATCGTCGTCTCCTCCTCCTCCTCCTCTAATTCATTCTTCCTGTTATTCTCACTATGGTTACTGCTTGTACATATGCTTCATTTTTAGGAGCTTTGTGTCACTTCAGTGGCTTCCAAAAACCACAGTGAGATGCTCAGTTAAACAAGAGTAAAAAATGCCCCACCTTAATTCCCTCGATCCTGAAACCCAAGTTAGCACTGGAGCTGATGGTCTCCCTCCACTGCATGTACCGAGGTTTTGTCACGGCGTGCTGTGAGTTCTCCTCAGCAGTGGGTGCCAGAGGGTCCACGTCAATCATTTTCTTATACATGTCCTTACGCAACTTTGGCTTCTCTCGAGCTTTAGTCAATTCTTCCTCCAGGTACGTCCTGCAAAAAACAACAACAAAACCTTGATACTGAATACTTCTGTAACTCTTTAGGTATAACAACTTAATTTTTTGTGCCATGGCAGGAAAATTTCAGTGCTTGTTACATGCAGGTAGATAAACTGCTGTCCTTCAGATGTGCTTAGAAGATATCAGCATGACGTGTTCAGGATCACTTAGGTAAGCCAATGTCAGGATGCAAAATTCTTGAGCCACAATACTAGATAGCACTAGAATAGGTAAAGGAGAAGCACATGGTCCAACAGAAGCTTGTTTGGTTTAGATGATCACATGGACAAACTGGCAAGCTGACTTAAACATTTTTTAAAAGTTGGCTGTCTAGGGCAGCAGTCCTAGATTTTAACTACATATTGGCATCTTACTGCATATGTCTAAGGAATATTGCACTGTGTTGAGACGGAAATAGCTGGATTTACCCTTTTGTCCAGTTCCAGAATGTGTTAGTAATTCAGAGTAAATCCTGAATAAAATCTAGGATTGGAGACTCATCACAGAAATCCACACTGGAAAGAAAAACAACTCCATACAGTTTTTCCCTTTGTGAATTTTGATAGAGTTGTTCAACTCCCATAGAACATATTACAAAACTGGGGGGGGGGGGGGACATAAAAACTCTGAACTAAACTATGTATATATAAAGGATGGCCAATCATGCAATCTTATAAAGAAGCTTTTATTTACAGGTTTCTTAAAAGCTTGATCTCAGCTTGGAGTCTCTAGCTTAATAAAGGAAAGCTTAACATTAAGCCTGAGGAATGTATTTTGGGGGAAAGACCTAAGCATAAAGTTATGAGGGGTTTAATTTCTTTTGCTTTTGTAAGATTTTCCCAGTCAATCTCCTTTTGATTTGCCTCAAAAGCTGAGTGCACGGTAATGTAATTTCCCGTACCTGGTGAAGTTGTCTAAAGAAAAGTAGGTGGGGGGAGGGGTGGGCAGCCTCAATACGGGTCACTGCAAATACTTCTTTTAGGTTTTAAGCTTGTTTCACTACTCATTCCACTATTTTTATTGCGGTTATTCAATTTTGGGGTACCATTTTATTTGTCATATATAGTCAAATAAATGATCTTGTCTAACATTTTCCTCAAGGTTCTATACATGTTCTAAAGTAGTACTTAGTGTGATAGGTGACAGTCACAACTCCTGAACAAGGAGCTCTTTTCCCTAACTTCAGATGTAGCAACTGATTTTTTTTGTTTTGTTGTTGCTGTCAAGTCACAGCTGACTTATGGCAGCCCCATGGGGTTTTCAGGGCAACAGATGTTCAGAGGTGGTTTGCCATTGCCTGCCTCTGCTTCACAAGATTTCTTGATAGTCTCCCATCCAAATACGAGCCAGGGCCTGCCTTGCTTAGCTTCCAAGATCGGGCTAGCCTGGTATGTCAATGTCAGGGAGCAATTGAATAGCTCTCTGCATATGCTTTGAGTGTTAAGTGTTTTCAGCCAATCAGAAGGCACAGAGAAATAAGCATGCTCATCAGGCTCTGGAGCCTAATGCCAAGTGCTGAGTATAGCAGGCAAGATAACCCATCCAAAGTTAAGCAATGACACAAATTCTGCTCTTCTAGATAAGTTGAATACACCAACCTGGAAAATTCATTGTCCTGGCTTCATCTCCATAGGTCAATCTCAGTCACAGGTTTTGAAAACGGTGCTTTCATGTACTAGGAAATAGCCATTCTTTTACATTTTTTGCAGATGTGATCCAATGCAAATTCATTAACAATTCAGTTCTGTGCTCCAAAGTTGAAACCTGGTATTGGTGATATATCTGAGACAGATGTCCTGCTGGGAACGCACTTATACTTGGATGTAAGGTGGGACTTTAATTGTCACTTTTTGAGTGGCTAAATATGACTGATTAAGAGTTATTGTAGACTTTTTGTACAGAACAAAGAAGTCTACTGACCTACTTCCACTGAAGTCTGGAACTTCTCCATTTAGAAAAGAGATGACTAAGGGGGGGCATGACAGAGGTTTGTAAAATTATGCATGAGGTGGAGAGAGTTGACATAGACATTTTCCTCCCTCTCTCAAGATACTAGAACTCGAGGGCATCCAATGAAGCTGATAGCCAGTAAATATAGGATGGACAAAAGGAAATATTTCTTTACACAGAGAGTGCCTAAAATGTGGAATGTTAAAACAGGGCCTGAGAGCATGTTTTTACATCAACCCTGGAAGAGGGCTTAGCAGAGAGTAAGCAGGAGGGAGAAGTGGGCTTGTGGAAAGCTGAGCAGGTGGGACAGGCAAGCGAGCAACCCCAAATTTCAACTCCTTTATATCGAGAGTTATTCTCAAAGACCTCACAGCTTTTGTATCATAGTGGCAGAAACTCTCCCATAATCTGTAGTTTACCAATAAGGCAATAATGAGACAACTGGATTTCAAGGTCTCCCACCTTATCCCCATCTTACAGTCCATCACACAAGGCCCCTCAAAGTTAGCAAGAAGGTCGTCCAGTTGGATATAGGACTCGCCGTCTCTCTCTACCACACCATGGTAGACGGGGACACAGGAGTATAACCGATCGTTCAGCAGCAGCTCAAAGCACTTCTCTTCATTTTCTGAGTAGCGCTTCAGAATTGTCCCACCATCAGCTGCCTTGAAACTTCCTGTAATAAACAGAACATACTGAAGTACTGAGGAAAGCCTCTCCTCCAATTTGCCCACCACACCCTAACCTCTAGATAAAGACTTTCTTGTAAAGACAGTGTATTTCTTGTAAAAAGAACACCCACTGCAAACAGTGTCTGGCTATTAAAAAAATTCACATAAAATGTGTACATTGGCTTGCTCTAGACACACTACACTGCACAGTAAGTTAACAGGTTAAGTCATGTTACTACTCTGATAGCCAGATTATATGATTAAATCTTTGCAATGCTACCACTGTGTCCTGAACTGAGATCTATGATGTACCTGTCCTTAGTGCACAAGAGATCATTAACTAGGAACCCATGACTAGAAGCCAAGTCATGCATTTTGAATACACATACACAATTTTCTCCAGGTACTGAAAGACTCTTGGAACCATGCAACTCCAATGTTTTACTGTTCTTAAATTTATCCATCACAAACCACATGGTCAATGCCATGAGACTGAATAGGAGTCCAGAGGGAGCCACTTCCCCTTTCAGAATTGCAATAACACCTTCATGAAAGAAAGGTTTTTTTTCCTTTCTCATAGATGTCTATTAGCCCATGGCACCTGAAACAAATTCATGTGCCAAACACAGAGAATGAGACCAATCCTAAATCATACTCTGCATTCATTAAAATTGGCCTAATCTTTTGCTGCCAGCACTGGAATGCATGGAGATCTTTTTGGAATCAGAGCAAGTTCAACTGTAACACAAGGAAATGTGAATACTTCCCATAAGTGAACACTTCCCATACATGCTTCCCAGTTAACTTATACCTTTCTCACACCTCAGTCAGACAAGGTACTACAGAAGCCGACATAAATCACTTAAATACAGTAAGCAGCTTGGCCAAATAAGATTCTATCAACTTCCCCGAAAGTTAAACAAAACACTACTTGCTTAAGCAGTCCCCTATTTGCTACCCTATCAGTCTTCCCCAAATTCTTTGTAAACTGCACCATCAGCCTACTCCAGCAGTGGCCTTACAAGTTTACAACCAACTTAATTTCAGAGAGTGATTAAAATGTGGGATGTGATGCCAAAGAATGCAGAGATGGCCACAGGAATAAATGGCTTTAAAAGGGGATTAGATAGATTCATGGAGAACAAGTCTATCAATGGCTAACTACCCTTGGTGACTAAGGGGAACCTCCACATTCACAGGCACTAAGCCTCTGAATCCCAAAGCCAGGGGAAGCCCTCAGCCTCTAAGCCCTATTGTTGGCTGTCCAGTGGAACTGGTTGGCCACAGTGTAAGACCAGATGCTGGACAAGATGGACCATGGTTGACTTCTGGTGACAACACACTGGGGGCTTGGACATTTATCAGAGAGGTGGCTTGATTACCCTGCCTCTGTGTCCCACATCTGGTACTCCTTGGACGTTGCTCTTTCAAGTACTTGCCAGAGTTGCTTTTCCAAGTACTTGCCAGAGTTGGCCATGCTTAGCTTCCAAGATCTGATGAGATCGGGCTTCCCTGGTCTATCCAGGTCAGGGCCAGGAGGGTTCTTCTTATGGTCATATTTCCTCCTTAGGATTTTAAGTTCAAAAGAATTTTCACACAGAAAGAGTGAGACACTGAGCATTTGGACTATTGTATACAAAGTACAAGACAGAGGTGTGGTTGTGTACAGACACCACACAGAGAAAAAAACTAAGAGCCGTTCCTAATGTGCATATTTTGCTTCTTTGTCAGGCTGGTTATAAAAGATATCTCATCATGTAAGCCAAATGTTCCATCTAGCCAGGAAAAACAGTCTTGGTACTGCTAGCTCTGCTTACTCAAATTCATGATTCATCTTTTGAAAATTATGAAACAGGCTGGGATTGCATGTGTTTCATTTTTTAAACTTCACACTAGCTTTTAACAACAATCTTCTGATTAGTGAGGCTGTTAAAAACACCCGTCTCACGTTCAAGCTCTTCTTTATATCAATGTGGATGAGAAGTCAAATTTGTTACACACAATTTGGTATTTTCACAGGAGTTCAGGAGTCACATTTGAATGATCCCAGAGCCACAGGCAGTTTATAATCTTGCCTATATTTAGTTCTAGAAAAACTGGCCAGGTTACCTTAATAAAGCACATTTTACTTTTAAAATGAGCATGCTACTATAATACAGAATGGGTAGCATATTTCAAACAAGGTAGAAAATATAGATCTCTTAGTGTTTTGCTCCCTCCCCAGAAATAACCTAGTTTATTCGAGCTAACCATTTCGGAACATTGAGATAAAGACTTATTTTGAAATCAGAAGTCCTTCAGAATCTTTGCGATTTTATTATCTCTCTCTTTTTTTTTTTGTAATGGCTAAGCAAAGCAGGAAGGTTTTTGTTTTTACCTGTGTGACCAGCCAGCTGCACCCAGGAGTACCGCTTCTTGAAGGGACTGATGACTGGCAAGTTGACAATTGTTTTTATTGTTTGCCATGCTTTTTTCTGGAACAAAAAAGGGGGGGAATCCATTATGACCCACTCACAAATTATGCCAAGCAATTAGGTACTTGTGCATAGAAATCCATGGCTCACTATTAGCGCCAAGTTTGAACCTTGCCTGCCCTTCTAACGTATTTGATAAAGTGTGCGTGCACACGAAAGCTCATACCTTGAATAAACCTCTGTTGGTCTTAAAGGTGCCATTGGATTCTAAATTTGTTATTAGCACTAGTGAGTGAGTCCCCTTTAACCTCTAAGAACCATCGGCCACTATATCAGGTAGATGGTTATTAAGATACTGGTGATGTAAATTACTCACTATGCAAACAGATAAAAGTGTTGATTAAAGGGTCAAGGGTCAGACAACTCTCATAAGACATTACCCATCTCAGGGAATACCACGTATTGTTATCACCCAGATTGTCTTTTTTTTAAAAAAGTCGCATACCCAACATCTCCACGTGCTACCTAACCTCAAAAGATATAGAGTAGGTAGCATATTTCAAAGCAGAAAATACCAATTTCTGGGTTTCCTTATTTTCTACTCCAAAAAAAATCTGGATTATTTGGGCTAATTACTTATTTGATATTTTTAATAGCTGCACATCTCCAATGAACAAGTGAAGACATAAGTATGGAGAGACACCTTTGTCAACATTTTAAACAGAGCCA